TCTTAAGTCTGAATCGATCAGACATAAGAGGATTCAGTGTGTTTGTTTTTTTTTTCAATTAAGAGCTTAAAAGCTCTTATTAGGTCTGAAAATTTAAGTGGTTGCGAAACCTCTTATTACCTCTTATTTCAAATTGCCGCCTACCTACTCTGATCTCTTTGCGCTCAATTTCTCTAGATCAACTCTTCTGTCTCGATTTCTCATCTCCTAACTTTGTCAACTGTCGATCCATATCAACTCTCGATCTCTCATTTTCAAACTTCAGACACAAAAAACAAACAGTCTAACTGATTCAGATTTCAGCATCACCTCTTAAAAATCAGAAGTGAATTCAGATTTCAACACGTCTTAAAAAACAAACGCCACATCAGTTTTGGTATTGGGATCAAATGGGAATTCCACCTATGGGTTAGTATAAATAAATCTTTTAGTTCCATCATGATAGAGAACGAAATTGAGAGCTTAAAATCCCTAGTTTGAGCAGAGAAAATATTGAGAGAGATTATACACAATTTAATGTTCGGTTTGTAATTTCTATTTGACGTTTGGTTGTTCTTCGTCAATAAAAGTTCTTCCTCTTTCCTTTGGACGTACATCACCATACCAGGCATGGGAATGTGGCGAGGACCCCAATCCCCATCCCTGTCCCTGATCCCAATCTTCGTACCCGTCCTCATCGTGGAATATGATCACATTCTCATCTCCGTCCCCACGGGGAACCAGGAATCAGGGAATCTTTTTCTCGGATATTTTAAATCAAACGTGTTAAGCACCACGCTCGATCAATAATGATTTATTTTTAAATCTCACATATTTTCAAAATCTTGTTTTATAAAGTCCCAAGTATTCATATGTGAATAAAATCGTAACATGATACGTAATTGTTTGATCAAATACTTTCGGCTTTCAACGTTTTTTTATCTAAAAGAAAGCAAGACAACTCAAAAAAAATGCATATAAAAAGAAATGTCAAAATACTAAATCTAAAAAATATTAAATCTATTTTTTTTATAAATAATATATTTAATATTCAGGAACGGGACGTGGTGGGGACCACGTTACTCGTCCCCATCCTCGGTTTTTAACTTTCGGGGATCCCCGTTCCCGTCAAAGTAGGTCCCATTCCCATGCCTACACCATACCGATGGTGGAACCATGTACGTCATCATATTGATGGTAAAACCATATACGTCATCATACCGGTGAACGTACTTCCTAGTTAATCATTTTTTTTCTTTTTTTTCCTTTTGTTTTTTTGTCTTTTTTTCTTTATTTATTTGTATTAAATAATTAATAATGTAAACTTTAATTTTTTCTAATATAATTTATTATTAATATAAACATTTACTTTTTTGCTAGTCATTGTATAATTATAAAAATATACAATACATAAAATATTTTATTAAACGTGGAGGGTTTTTTTGTCATTTTTGCTGTTATTAATTTTAAATAAATTATTATGGACATAAAGATTATTTATTTATAATAATTATATAATTATAAAAATAAAACAAAAAGATTGAGATTTGATAATTTCCTTATAATTAATTATTTAATTTAATTTATATCCTTTACGTTTTTGTTTTTATATTTTACACATTTATCATATTAACATACATGATCGTGTATAAACTCAAATACGTTAAAAGAATATGTTCCTTTTTTCTTAACAAATTACATCATTATAATTATTTCGTCAATATCTTCAAAATGAGTTTAATATTGAATGTTTTTGGATTTGATAATATTATTATATAAAATAAGTACTAGCCGAATGCACTTTGTCCATATTAAATCGCCTGATCATTTTTGGACATATATGGATCGGTGGAATAATATTCCATTAACTCGGTGTCCTAGCTCAAATAGCTAGACAAAACCAAGTTTTCCCAAGATCTTTCATCTCAGATTTAGATTTCAAGTAACTTGTGGTTTCTCTTATTTCATCAAGAGTACCTATTATGTTCATAACATCGACATATAGAACTACGACTGAAAGTCTAGAATTCGTTTTCTTTATAAATACACAAGGGCACGATTCATCGTTCTTATATCTCTTCCCAATCAAGTATTTACTTAGGCAAGTATACCACATTCGCCTTGATTGTTTTTTATTTATAAAGTGCGCGTTTCGATTTTATTGCGAACGTACTATGTGGTTTAGAGTTACTTGATTTGAGTAATGTAATGTCATCAAACACTTTTATATATCTCTGTATCTAGATCCCCATAGAGATATGTAGTAGTCACATCATTGAGCTGCATTTTCCAGTCATTCGGGAACTACTGGGCTAATTAATTAACAGAACGTTGTAACATCCATCACGGGAGAGTAAGTCTTTTCGTGGTCAATCCAGGACATTGTGAGAAATCTTCCGCCAAAGGGGATCATTATACATTATGACTTAATTATTCTTATTACACTTTATGACAAATGATTTATCTATGTCGTACAGACTTTATACTTGGCGGGTTAGCACTACCTGACCAAATACCCTTTTCATTTGTCAAGTAGTATAATTTACGTGTTGATATCGTGTTATAGAATAACTGAAAAAACAACAACAATATAATAGAGAGTAGAAATATGTAATTCTCATTAATCATAAACCCTTTTTATATGGATAAGTTACAAGTAGATAATTACGAGATATTTCATTTCTAATATAACTCTGATATAACTATCTCTGTCTCTATCGTCATATCCTTTAAACGATGACACATTTATCCTACAACAAATATACGATTATTTATGTTAATATGATAAAAGTGTAAAATGAAAAAGTAATGGATGTAAATTAAATTAAATAACCAATCATAAGAGCATAAAGTGTAATTTATAAATTAAAAATGATTTTATTTTTTAATATTTGGAAGACATGGGGAGGTTATGAGGTTTTGATAAGTTGTACTTTTGCATAATTTACTTGTATTTTATATTTTTTATATTTTAAAATAAGATGTTTATCCTCTATTTGATTATATTTATCCGCAATTAGTTATACGAATTCAAAAATCGAGCTTTGATAAG